AATGAAATTTAAGTCATTCCCATAACATTTTTGTTTGCTTGCTAGAAATCTGAAATCATATCATATATGTCATAACATAATGGTCAGGGTCACCTAATAAATTTGATTCAAAACAAATAAATTTGATTAAAAACAAAGAACAGAGCTGTTGCCGCCGATCGACGATAAGATAACGTCGGCATATTTATAGCCTCGCCTCGACAAATGTTTATTTCCTTTCTTATTTCTGCCGATGCGATATTTCCTTCGAAGAATCGATACCAAAAAAATATCGCAACGTTAATATCGACGTAAAGTATCGATATTCTCTTACCGATATATCGATACTCTGATGATATCGTGTATCGATACCACAACCCTAGCGTTATGTATATATTCATAAAAGAGTTCTGACGTCATACAGCCATTGCCACTTTTGCCAATAAACCATGACTTAGGGCGAGATGAATGGATTTCCTTTGGAATTCTTTTGTAGGGATATAACGGGTGATTTTTTAAGAGGTATAGGATTTGATTTTCAAAAAAACAAACAATTTGAAAAAACGATTAAATCTTTATTAGAGTCGATAGAACGGTCAATATAATTTAATGTTTAAAGATTATTCCATGTAAATGTTGGCCGCGGCTCCGCTTTAGATGGCCCATGCGCAAGGTCCAATTTTGGCACACTCTCTCCAACATATCGGCCGGTATCTCACGAATAAATGCTTCATATTGGCTTCTAGTGCGTCAATCGTTACTGGTTTATCCCTGTAGACATTAGCCTTAACATGGCCCCACAAGAAATAGTCCAACGGCGTTAAATCACACGATCTAGGCGGCCAATTGACGGGCCCCAAACGTGAGATAAACGGTTCACCGAACTGGCCTCTCAATAGGGCCATTGTTTCGTGTGCGGTGTGGAATGTGGCACCGTCTTGTTGAAACCACATGTCAGCCAAGTCCAGCTCTTCCATTTTGGGCAAAAAAAGTTTGTTATCATCGCACGGTAGCGCTCGCCATTCACAGTTACGTTCCGGCCATTGTCGTCTTTGAAGAAGTACGGCCCGATGATGCCACCGGCCCATAATCCACACCAAACAGTGATCTTTCGGGATGCATTGGGAGCTCTTGCAATGCTTCTGGCTGGTCTTCACTCCAGACGCGGCAATTTTGCTTGTTAACGTACCTATTCAACCAGAAATGAACTTCGTCGCTGAACACAATTTTTCGATAAAAATGTGGATCTTCCTCCAACTTTGCCAGCGCCCATTCACCAAATTGGAAACGTTGTGGGAGGTCGTGTGGCTTCAATTCTTGCACCAGCTGTATCTCATAAGGTTTTGCACCCAAATCCTGTCGCAAAATTTTCCACGTAGTGGAGTAACAGAGGCCCAATTGCTGCGAACGGCGGCGAATCGACATTTCACGGTCATCACTAACACTGGCGAATACAGCCGCAATATTTTCTTCAGTCCTCACTCTACGTCTGCGTCTTGGTGGTTTAATGTCCAATAATGTAAACTGTGTTTGAAATTTAGTCACAAGCTTCCGAATAGCTCCCTCAGTAGGCCGACCAAATTGCCCATAAATTGGAAGCAGTGCTCGATGCACTCTCTTAACCGAGCATGAATTTTGATAGTAAAATTCAATAATTTGCAAGCGTTGTTCGTTCGTAAGTCGATTCATGGTTAAATCATAGACCAAACTGAACAAGTTTGACAATGACACAAGACACGATTCACGCGTCATCTGTCAAAAACAGTGTTACCAAAAAGATTCTAGCAAAAAATCACCCATTACAACCATTGGACGTACCACAACTGCACTTGCAGAGAAACTGAACATGACTGTTAATGTAGCTTTGGCTTGTCCCCTTGAATTTCATACACATTTTTTGCTCCTCGAGGAGCTAATACTTTTTTGTTTGCCGGACATAGCTGAAAATTGGTTTCATCAGCATTGAATATCCTATTCGGATTCTCCAGCAACGTGGTCAAAATGTCTTTCTTTCATGTAATTATCTACCTCAGAAAACTACTTCCTGATATCGTTTTCGGATACGTTGGCACTGGCCGCTGTGACAAATCTAAATATGAGATGTACTACTGCAATAGCTCTTAGCCCTACAAGTATTAAAATACATCGACTTCAAATAGAGGTTCCTTATCCGTAACCAACAAGAACTTCTGACAGCACGGAGGCACTACCATAAATGTACTGATATTGCCGCCAATTAAATCTTCTAGGTTAGGAAACTTCGTCACGTGATATAACAGATATGAGATGGGTATATTAGAGTATTAATTTTTCGCATAGTTGTGTTAGTAATTTACGATTATATAAGAAGATGCCGATGACTGTATAGGTGCCAACGACTGTCTGTTTTACCCTATTTTATAATTCAAAGATAAAAAGCAACGTACTATTACTCTTTGATGTGAAATATGCCGAAACATGCCGATTTTTTTTTTCATGACATACCTCACACCTGAAATCAATATATTTTCATATAATTATATTATCAGTAAAAATATATATTTTACCTTTTTGGTTTCTGTTTTGTATTGGGTGGAATTATTGAAGGGAAGTGGCGTTTACTGTATCTTGTTGGATCTTCTTTTTTGTCTTGAATTTGATTGATTATATTTTTCTACTAGTTTTTCTCCAAGTTCTTTCAGGAAATTTAGCCTTTTTAGCTTTCCTCCAGATTTTTAGTAAATTTTTGGATAATGTGCTAGGAATTCAGAGTAGTTCCATAAAAATGTAAGTAATTATCAGTTAGGTCTACGTCGCCCATTTTAATATTGTACTCCAGAATACACAGGGGTTTTTCAACATCGCCGGCCCTTTTTTGAATTGTTCCCAGGCTTTCGTCATGTATTGTGCTTAACACTAGAACGTCTTTCTTATCTCGCTATTTTTTAACCATAATTTTCACCCTTAGATAGTTTTTTTTTTATGCCAGTGGGCACGCATTTTCTATTTAATCTCATTGTCCCTGCACAATCGTTTCTGTTTTATAGTAATTTCTCAGCCAGGTCGACACTAGTATACAAATTATCCAAAAAGAGTCGATAGCCTTTTCTAGTAGGGGATACATTAGAGAGAGAACTGTCCTAGCAATTACTGGTTCTTCAGAATACCTTTCTCCAAAGTGACAGAGTATTGTAAAGTTGAACGTATCGTCCCCTTTATGACATACCGGCGTATCTGAGTTTTTGCTAAGTGTTTCTGCTAATTACTTTCCAATAATTTGTGACAGATAGAATTATAGTCTCAATATATTTAAAAACAGACTTTTTATTTTGATTCTCTTACAAAGTAAAAACAAAAATACAAATATTCATAATGATATGCGCTAAATACCAAAGAGCAACACTAATTAGAATCAGTTCTACCAGGTATATTTCGCCAAAAATCTTTTCTGTTTTCAGACATTATTGTATTTAACACTTTTAAAATGTTTTCTTTTTTTTCTGAAGGAAAACCGCCAGGCTTATGTAACGGCTCCGGCAATTTCATACCATTGGGCTTGGTTGCTTTAAACTGTAGAAAATCTAAACAATTATTCGGTTCCCATTCCGAATGTGAGGTTTTGAAAAGAAGATAATATTGCCCTCTGCGAGCGGTAATCTGAACAATGTCTTTGAGATAAATTCGATTCATTTGTTTCTTTAATTTTTATTGTGAAACGAGAGATTTGAAAGAACAGAAATCTGAAAAAGACATGTTTTTGATTTCTACTGCTCCCTTATTTGCTTGGGATACAGCATTAACAAAATCTGGAAGATCATACTTGTTTCCTTGCTTCTTTAAGGACAGCTCCACTTGATGATGAAAATGGTCTGCTGACATATATGTATGTCCTGGTTCAAAATAATTAATGACAATTTCTTCAGCACTTATTTCACTTGAATTTATAATGAAAACAAGGAAACTTAATAAGCACCAATTTTTGTTTTGGCTTGAGCAGTTAGGGTCAAAACTGGGGTAATTGTAAACGCTTTTGACAGGTTTGTTTACATTTACCCAAATGTCTTATTTTCTCAGTACCAAAAAGTAAGGGATAAAATTAGATAGGAAAGCATAATTCTGTCATATTTTCATTGTTTTGTTCCAAAGAAATAAGATTTCTTGAAAATTTGTTATTTGTTTATTTTGAAGATCAAAAAGAAACGTTTTGTTTACTTTTGCCCAGTGTTTTAGGGGTAAATGTAAATACTTTGTTTTTAAACTATATCTTTATGTATACTTTTACTAAGGAAAATGTAAACACAATGAGTACTGGATGTCTGATAATAATCTCAAGTGGTTTTAAGGAATGTTTACATTTACCCCAAGTTCCATTGTATTTATAAATAAAAACTGATTTCTTAGTTGCTCCGGAGGAACTTTATTTCACAAACATTATAAATATAAACTGGAGTATTACCAATGCGTAATAAATTGGATTAGAGGTAACGATTCTAAAAGAGGCACAACCAAATTAGGAACTTCATTTTCCTTAAACTTATGTTAACAATCAAATTGCTAAATAGAAAAAAAAACATAAATAAACGGGTAATATTGCCCTAACTACAAATATACGAAAAGTAAAACCAAATTATGTTTAAACTTAAAAGGAAATAATGATCTTGATTCACTGTTCAATAACAGGCACTCTCTTAATAAAATGGTAAAAAATTCGTTCTCCTTTAATTTGTATTGTTGGGAAAGGAAGAAGTCCTATTTCTTGTTCAAAGCTAATGTAACTTTTATCTTTTTCTACCACAGCAAAATCTTGCCGGGAGGTGTCATTTGATTTTAGACCCATCACTTCCAAGTCGGTGCCTTCAACATTTTCTATTACACAGACATACTTAAATGTCGTGGAGCCTCGTTTACCTCCTTTAAAGCTTACTAAAATGAAATTGCCACTAGTCAGCTCTGAAAATTGGCATGCCTTAATGTCAATTTCATCTTCATCATTTTCACCCAAGGAACTATCACTGGCATTTTCAAGATATTCTGTTTCACTTTCACTTGAGGAAAAGTCCACTTTTGTTTTTTAATTTTTTCGCCTTTATCGTTTCTATTTCTGTATTTTGTAATTTTGGACGTTTCTTTTTCAACTGCTTCATTTCTTCGGCCTCCTTAAGTCTTTTCAAGACATCATCTGTTGTAAGTACTTCACCATAAGTCTTTTGTTTTAATCGAACGTTTGTTGTTTTTTGTTGTACGACATCTTCCAATTCAGTTCGTTTAAAAAAGAGATTCTCAATTTCTGATCCATTTGTAGCTGCGACTTGTAAATCAGAAGGTTTCTTTGAAACATTGGTATCTCGAGTTGCATTTTGGGAATCAATCATCGGGTGTGTGTTGACTTGGGAAGTGGTCGGTTCATCAGACATATCAATTTGCTGTAGGCTGGTTTGCAACACCCAAGGTTGATTTGAAATATCAGTTGCGCTAGATTGGGATGTGGAAGATATGATCGCTTGAAAAGAGGAATGTAGAGATGAGACGTTAGGTGGCTGCATCTTTTCTCGTTATTGAAGAGTACTATCAACACTATTTCCAGTAAATTCGGTTATGTGAAATTTGGTGCTGTCTACAGGAAATATTCCTGTTGTTTTAAATCCAGAAATAATATTTTCAAATGTCATAGATTTTTTCCAAACAGTCCTAAGAACCTCGGAAAATTCTACCTTAGTTAACCGGCCAGAGCCAGAACCCATTTTCTTTTTGCCTAGAGAAATAAGTTCTTTTTCCGAACATGTCTTCACAAGTCCAAATACACACTTATCTAAAGGCTGTAATCTATCTGTCAAATGGCTTGGTAGTTTGATCAAAAGTATGTTGTTGTTAATGGCTTCTTCTAAGATCCTCACACTCATATGGCTGGCAAGGCTATCAAAAATAAGTAAAGCATACTGACTCAGCGATAGTTTCTCCTCCCGTACTTTTTGGATATGAAGTATAAAAGTACTGGTGAACCAATGGAAGAATTGCGGCTCCTACATCCATCCATTACTTGAGGTGGTATAACGGGTACCAGGGTATCCTTTTTCTGAAACCCATCTAGGCTGAACTGCTTGAATACGACTAGCGGAGGTAAAACAGATCCATCGGCTCCAATGCAAGCGAGCACGGTGGTATTTTCCTTACTACTACCTCCGGATACTCTACAAAGTGGCCTACCTTTTTGACCTATTGCACGAATGCGACTAGGGTCACTAGGAAAACCACTTTCATCTGGGTTATAAATAAAACAGGCCTTATCCGAGCTAATCAGAATCAGGGGTAAATGTAAACATCTTTTTTTTTTGTTAAAAACTAGGCGTTAATGACGGAAAAAAGAGTATAATTATAAAAATATATGTTTCAAAAGCCATAATAATCCAAATGCAAAACTGCTTACCTTTTAGAAAGCAAATTAAAGCATAATATCTCTAGATATTTACCTTTGTAAACACAACAAAATGCACGTGCTTCTATGACCGCTTGTTTGTAACTGAAATTTCAATCGCATGCTGAATTGCTTGGCGGCAATGCCTTCCGGTGAAATTTGGCATCATAGCAGAAGAGGAATATAGCGTCGGGCGCGAAGTTTAAACATGAATGTGAAAGCGTTTAAGTTTACCCCCATTTACATTTACCCCAGTTGACCCCATCAAGCCAAACAGTGATTTTTTCTAAGTCTCTTTGTTTTTTAAAAAATGCATAAAATGCACTTGTAACATCTTCTTGGTCTCTTCCGCTTATACCTTCATGCCAAAGTACTGCAAAAGGTTTTGCCAGACTCTTTTTCCCCAGTGGAACGAAGCTCTCATTATAAACTGAAAGCCTTTGGATAAATAAGACCCTTTTAAATGTCTCTAATCTTGGCAACTTTATCACTTTCTCTAATTCAGCAGAAAAATAAGAGTTCTTTTTTCATTATCATGCGCTTTTCTTTTCTTTTCAGGTGACGCTTTAGCCATATCAATATGATATTTCCAAATCGTTCAGGTTTCACATGCAGGTTGAAGATTATCTTCATTATGCTCATGAAGCTTCATACTCTCACAAGTCTCACATTCTTCATTGCCAAGTCTAGCAAAAGATATATTTTTCTTTTTAAAAATCAGCATGCATGCTTCTGACAGTTATATCGCTGGGGACATACCGAACACGGTGCATGTGCACGTCTGTAATGTGAACTAACTGGATTAAGACTCAATATGTGCATCTATCTCATTTTTTTTTTGAATAAAATTTGCTGACCGACTTTTCCCTCGTTGGTCTTCTAAAGGTGCTATGCTTCCTTTTGGCGTTTTTGATAGAACTTCATAAATGAATCGATCATTGGTTGGTTTGTATCCAAGAGTGGTCAAATAAAAATGTTTACACACATGTTTTCTTACCCCAGAACTGTCTTTGAAGGTGTATTTGAAAACATTATGTCTAACATATGATTTAGCATTCTTTTCTGTTGTTCGACGCTTAATTTCCAAACGTTCGCAAGAGCTTAAAAGAAATGATCTTCTTTCTGCATAAGATAGTTCCCAAAACTGGTTATTGATTTCACGTCTGTGATCCTCAGAAAAAAGTACCGACTATCTAATTTTACATTTTTCCTTATTACACGAAGGGCCGACAGGGTGTTGCGCTTTTATTAATTCGGCTTTTTTCTTTTTCCTGCTAAACAAACTCTCGGTGATTTTTTTCTTTTGCGTTTAGTTACAGCTTTTGTAAGATTAGCATCCTTAGCAATCTAAAAATCATAAAAATTCGTTTTTATGTCAAATAGAATGTTTTATTCACACAAACCAGTTCATCTTCAACTACAGAAGAATCTGGAACATCGTGGTCTTCCTAAAATCAAATGAAAACTTAGCTGTTTTTTTGTATGAGATATCCATTGCAGAAAGCAAAAAGTATTATTTCTATTAATAAACATCTGATAAAGATCTGATGAATTTCGATGACTTATGTCATTATCATCCGACAAAGTCTTATTTGTTGCAAAATACAAATAATTAACCATTCCAGCCTTTTTGCTGTATGTTACTAACAAGTTATGAACTCCACTTCCAAAATGCACTTTTGAAGTACATACTTAAAGATTCTTAATATTACGACATTTTTATTATTTACCTCACTTTTTTGAATTTCTGTTTCTGTAACAGGGTTAGTGTGGTAGTGCCTAAAAATAGCAATTCAATGAATTTAAACTCTCCTAGAAAAAAAAAATACTTTAAACTATGAAATTAAGGAAAACTGATACTCTAATATTTTTATCAACTGAATATATATGCAATATATATACACGTGTAAAAAATTGAATTAAATATTGCAAACAGGTATCTAAACCTACCTCAAATTCAGCTTGAATTTCGCAATCTTCTCTATCTGCCATTAAACCTACTGTTTCTCTACTGCATGACACCAGAGTGTGATATTTCAACATGCCATTAGATTCAAATTGACTCAAAGTTGTGTCTAACTAAAATGAAAAAAAAAAATATACTTAAAATGCTGCACCATATGTAATTTTAAACTAGTATCTTAGCTCTATATTTATTAGTTCGTTGGAAATAATTAATAACGGACTAACGGACAAGACACGACTTGTACTTGGGAGGAACGCGGCAATTCATATGTACTAAAAAAACGCAGGATCTGACCGGAAGCTGTTGCATTTATGCTAAATAATGTTACGGCGGTTTTAATGAGCATGCAACCAAATTTTTGTTAGTTACTGCAAAATAGTTATGTTGTTTTACGGTTATGAAGCTTCAAACGGCATTTTTACTAAGTTCTTTGCATAGAAAACATGAATTCAAGCAAGAATATGTAAAAAACTCATTTTTAAATTTTTTTGTATATACGGCGTTTCTGATAAGCACGGCAAGTAAGCGCTGCTGTGCAAATTTTGAAGTTTTCACAATTTTGACATAATAATTTGAAAAACTTAAGGGTGCAATTGAAATAGTCGCATTGATGAAGCAACTATCCAGTTTTTTTTTTTTACATAAAAGTCAGATACGTCGTTTTGTTATACATCTTTTACTAATTATCATCAGATACGCCATCAACTGAGGAGATCAGAATAAGGATAATAGAATGAAACTTTATAGGAAAATAGGTGTACATGGAGGGTAAAAATCAGGTTTACAATTTAATTAAAAATACACATCGCATGTAAATTATTTTATTTTTGTTACAAGAAAAACAAATAAACTTAAACATTTTTAATGGTACTAGATAAATATAAAAAACATAAGATTTATTTTGCACCTTCACGCATTATTTAAGGATCTGGAAAGCAAACAGTTCATTTATCTGAACAATCATGGTGAGGTAGGTTCCTATAATTAATAGATCAAACGAACTTACCTAAGTGATGTTCGATCTTAATTATATGAAGGCTTCGTCGAAATAAATAAAGTAGTCTTGTACCCTGATTTTTCACGTATTGGCCACAAATTTCCAAAGCAAAGCGGCAACATCGCTTCCACTCAGCACCTCCGCCGCGTCACCGGCGGCGCCGCCACGCGCTATACAACCAGTCTCTTTTAAAGCATATTATGCAACATGTTTTCATAGGGGTTTTTTAGGGAGCGATTGGGACTTTATTTATTTCGACGAAGCCTTCATATAATTAAGATCGAACATCACTTAGGTAAGTTCGTTTGATCTATTAATTATATTCGGCTTCGTCTCATAAAGTAGTCTTGTAGATATTTAAAGTAGATCATGTTGCATACACCTTGTGATATTGTTCCTAGTTTCTTTTTCCATATATAAATATACTCAAGAGAAAAAAAGAAATAAGACGAATGGCCCTGTTTTTGAAATCAAATGTATTCATTTCTTCTCCTATAAAGATACATTAGGATGTAATACAACAAATAATATATCTACCTAATTAAGGAACCTGAAACATGTAAGGTAAACGTTCCAATTATTGTCACCTTTAGCACCTTACATACCCTGGGCATCATTCTAATATATTTAATAAATAAAATACCTATATCATCTTATATTCTAATTGTCAATTTGGCTAATAAAAGAGTTATCATATCACATAGTAATATTTATTTTGACCTAAAGAAAACACATCATATTTACAAAACTAATTAAATAAGAAGTGTGCTATGCCCGCATTATCGCCATCCTAAAAAATAGACGTGTTCCAGTTTTCGGCACATATAAGATCCTATTGTTGTCACAATGTTGGATAAGTAACCCAAAATATATTAACTAAGTAAATATCTAAGTAGTCACTAATAAAATATGTTAACATTAATTTCAAAATTTTAAACTTATTTTGAAATAATAAAAATGTACTTTCTAAAAACTAAACGTGAAATTAATCGTTATTAATCTGTTGGTCACTGACAAAAAGGACATTGAAATTCTTCTGTGTCAGCTTCTGTTAAACCAAGACAAAACTCATGGTAGTATTTTAGACAGGAATAACAAAGGCGCATGTCCAGCTGATCGTCAGTCTCGCACAATAAGCAATACCCAGATTCCTCTGAAGGTTTTGATGTTGAAGGTTCAGTAGTTACAGGTCCATTGCCTGCATTTGTGGAAAATAATTTTTTAGTAACATTCTTTAATTTAGTTGTCGCCCTGCGATTAGAAATTCTCCTTTTAGAAACGTTTTGTGCAGCAGTAATTTTCAATTTCTTCTTTTTGTTTTCCAATTCTTTATTTTGGTCACGTTTGTTCTTTCTTTCTATTTTCAGTTGTTCTTCTTGTTTTTTCTTTTCTGCTTTTTTTTGATAGTATTGTTGCCACTGAGATGAAGTTGCTACCGCAGGTACTTTATTCTTCATTAGTTTGTGCTTAGCAATATTTTCCTTAGGTGTAGGCCAGAATAAAGTTTGTTTGAATGGAGTCGGAATAGATTCATCTAAAACATTTTGTTGTAAAGGCGACAACTCTTTTTCTGAATTCGATTTTGGTTCGCCTGTAGAATCCGATTCAATTTTAGGTGTCGGTGTCGTTTTAATTTGAGTAGTTCCCATTTGTTGAAAGTTTAGTTCCAAAAGTGAAGAATGCTGCTCTAAAGAGTTTTCTACAGGTACATCATGCTGTGCTTTGCTGGGTGTATTTGAAATTATTATGGGAATATCTTCAGCAATGCCTATCGAAAGGGATAAATTTGTACAGTCAATAATTCCTGTAACATCAATTTCATTGTTATTGTTTGCCTTCTCAGCAAATGCGCCTTTGACATTTGAGCCTGCCTGAAATTCAATATCTACTTCTAATTGATCATTTATCAATTTATTATTTTCATTGATTTCTGTGGCATCTATATCGTTGTGAATTTCTACGTCTGTAAATGTATCTTCCATAATAAAGTCTTCTTGAATTTCATTTTCACTTTGTACTAGATCAGAAACCTCTATTGCATTGTTGTTGCTATTCACTGTTTTGATCTTCATTTTCTTCCAGAGTGAAAACAGGCTAGTGTGCTCTACTGGGACTTCCCAAAGTGGACCGGAAAGCAGAAATAATCTAAGAGTCTCTTTTGAGATGTATTGCTCTACACATCTTAGGACTGCTTGTGCTTCTTTAGGCTGTTCATGGTTCTCTTGTTGTTTTTGTGCTGCGATTTCCGTTTTAAAATATTTTGAAAATTTTATATTATCAACATTAAAGGGAACAAGTCCGCAGGTCCTGAAGCCATTCTTAATTATATCGGGAATATTTGTCATTTTTTGAAAAGTGCATTCCAAGATGGGCGCAAAGAAGTCTTTGGTAATCTTCTGCCCTTGGTTCTCCATTCTCCATCGGTGCACGCTCTTTTTCCATTCAAGCTTTAATGGTCGAAATACGGCCACATCTAGAGGTTGTGAAATATGTGTAGCATTTGGGCAAAGAGCTATAAGGGTAATATCATTTTTACTACAAAATTTACTGAGGGCCATAGTTAGGTGGGATGTATGTCCATCCGAAAACAATATAACCGGAAACTGAACTTTTTGAGCAACTAACCAAGGGTGAAATATATTAGCGATGTACTTGATAAAGGTTTCACCAGTCATCCACCCATTTTCAGACTTTCCGATACCCCAGTTTCCTGGAACTTTTTCGACAACGGAGTTGGGAATTCTTTTGTAATTATAAACGATCATTGGCGGTAAAATTTGACCGGAGGCAATACACGTAACCAAAGTCGTCAGACATTCCTTCTCATTATTGCTCACAAATGAGTAAACTGTTCTATCCCCCTTTTTAACTAAAACCTTGTCTCCTTTGGGTGTGAGGAAAAAAGCCGTTTCATCACAATTGAATACACGACCGGAATCAAAAGTTATGTTAAGATTGTTTGTGTTTTCTAAGAAGGTCCCTACTTCTATAAACCACTGACGAATGCGGTTTTCTGTTAGGCTGTTTCTAGCACAAGTGAGGTTTTGGGAAATCCTTGGAGCCAGTTCTGGGTGCCTTTTTAAAAATAATTCGTACCATTTCCGTCCAGGCCTGCCATCTGCGAAATTATTAGGCCTATCTAATTCTTTAAGCAAGAGCTGAACACTATCTAACAACTGTGTTTTTGTTGCTGGAAATCCATATGCTGCAACCCGAAATAACCATTCCACCAGTAAATTTTCTTCTTCCCTGGTTAGTATGGTCCCTGGTCCACATTTCTTGTCTAAAAGTGTTCTTCCTTTTACTTTGTCCTGTAGGGTCGATATGGGTACGTTGTATAACTTGCTAGCTGCTTTAAATGGCATTCCTGACTGAACAGCGTTAACAGCTTTATTTATATCTTCGGTAGAATATTGAAGTCGTTTAAGCTTGTCCATTGTGATGTAATTTTAATCTGAAAAAAAGAATCTCCAATTATCGACACCTTATGTATGTTCATATTATCGGCACTTTTATTAAACCTCAAATTTAAGCTAATTCTAGTAGATATATAGAGTGCCGAAAATTGGTGTGACATCTCATCGATGTATGCTGCATATAATAACCAAACATTTTTCATGATAAATTAAGAGCTGAAGCTAAAATTGACCTAAATCCAGTCCAATACGTATAACCAATTATCAGCATATCTGCCGAAGATTAGATCATCAATTATTGTTTACGTACCCATTATCGGCACCCATAAAATACACAAAAAAACCCAAAGAAAAACAGTTTTTTACTAGCAAATAACAAAAATAATAATTCCTAAACATATAAAACTTAAACATTTACACGAAACGTCTATCAACAATTACAACACGATAATGGCTTACCTGTTTCTTAACACTTGCAACAAGAAACACTTCAGACAAGAGTTTGGCGCGAACTGACCACTATATTTTTGACTATGGTTATTACCGAAATTGGCCGACAGTCATTCGGTTCTGCAGAGGCGTAGACAAAGGTTCGCAGAAATTGGTGAAATAGTTTTATCCAACAATCTTGCGATAGAAATCTTATTTTTCGGGATTATGTAGAATTTGTGCCGATAAAAGGGGTAGTGCCGAAAATAGGGACGTTTACCTTATTCTTCACAAGATACTGAACGAATATTCGAGCAAACAGCCTTAATGAACAAAATATTTTTAAATAATCTTATACAGATCTTTTATCCGTGCCTAATACAGACCTAGCAAATTCAGTATTATCAATAATTGGTCTGTGATAAAAGTTCGCAAACGTTTCGGAGTTCTTAGACCACCCTGCTGCCAGTCTAATGACGTCAAAACTCACCCCCGCACGAGCGGCTAGGGACGTCGCAGCGTGCCTTGTACTTAGAGGCTTAAACTGGTTTATGTTCACCCCACTTTTTTCTAAAACGTTCTTTATCCAACTACTAATCGTCTGCGGTGATGCTCGGCGATAAGGTTTTTTAGATGTAATCAAAAGAATTTGACAAGAACCTCTTAAATCCCTTGTTTTATTTAAATACTGGATTAAGGCTCTAGCCACGCAAACCTCAGAATCAGTATTCAAAAAAGGTAAAATAAGAACAGGTTGTGGCTTATTTAAGGCAGATGTTTTAATTCTGCTAGAGATCAACACGTTAACCGCCATGACACCTGACACTTGGGTTTCAGAACTTGTGGTCGATTGGGCTCCGACAACTGTATGTCGACCTTCATTACTATCATGTACATTAAAGCCTGTAACCCAACTGCCGTGCTTCAAAACGCATTAAATTATATGAGAACTGTTATAGAGGGGCCTGGCGGGTAATATTGCTGAATGATCCCGGCACTTCCACGATATTTTCTTTATCGGTGAAGATTTCTTCTAATAATGCTATGCAGTTATAAAAACACTTTTTTATTTTAGCGATGTAATACAAACAGTGCCTACTAGTTATAAATAATAATTGCAATATCAAAAAACATAGCAAATGGTTGCAACTAGTTATAAAGAATAATTATGATCATCAAAAAAACATGACAAACAGTAGAACTTATTGCATATATCGCAAAAAATTTTTGACTTAGGTCCCTTCTTCTGAGCGGCTTTCCTGCCTTCTTCAATACTTATTTTCGCATAACATGCTACACATTTTCGTCGGTCTTTTGAAGCAACTTCCTGCAAAACATGCTTTCTGTTTTCATTTTCTGTCTCCTCCCTGACAGTCACTTCTTCGATTTGTAACATACCAAGGGCAATTTTCTGTCTGAATTCTGTTATTGATATTTTCGCTTTCGTCACAGTTTTATACAATATGAAGGCGTTGACTACAGCTGAGCCAAGTAATATTTCAAAGGCTAATTTCCTGTACCACTGTACGCCTTTACGTAAAGGCGAACAATATGATTTCAGCTGATCTGATAGATCTATGAAAGACTTACACGAGTTGTAGTCAACAACAAGAGATGGTTTTTCTATTTCTGTTCCTCTCCGTGTATATTTAGTGGTTGTCTCAGCATGTACAGTGCTCAGACAAGGAATATCACGTTTATCGTGCCATTTCAAAACAACCACCCCTGTATTACTTTCCTTTGCGCAAATTTCTCCTTTATTCAATTTTTGAGCCTCCACATTTTTTGGGTTGTTTTTTTCTATTTTTTCTTAGGGTACCCACAAGATGAGTCTTACGCTTTTGTAACTCATGGGCCAAGGCGACACTAGTGTAGTAGTTGTCGGTGTATAAGATCCGTCCGTGGTCTAAAAGTGGCTCCATTAGTGACAAAACAGTCGAAACTGTAGCAGATTTCTGACTTTTTATCTTTTCCGCAGTATACTTTGATATCGTATGTATAGCCATCCTTACAACATAATTTGTACAATTTTATCCCGAATTTGTACCGCTTATTTTTGATATACTGCCTGAATGACAGCCTGCCTCTGAATGGTACTAGTGTTTCATCTATGCAGACAGATTTCTCCGGAACGTAAACCTCTTTGAATTTATTGGTCAAGTTTTCTAATAGTGGGCTTAGTTTTCCCAGTCGGTCATTTTTATCAATAATTTCGTTATCGTTGAAATGTAGCACTCTGAGGAGTAATTCAAATCGATTTCTGGACATTTTACACGACACCTTATTGCTATATAAGGGATTCTTGGACCAGTAATCCGTCATTTTCGGCAACCTTGCTAGACCCATATACCTTACAATTCCAAAAAATGTCGTAATTTCAACCCTGTTTTTGCATTGTCTAGCATATCTATTGGTCTCTAGTACAATCAAATCCAGAAGTTCGTCACTGAGAAATATCTTGAAAAAATCATACGGTGCCTTGGTAATAAAGTCCTCAGATATCTGTGTAGTAACACCGACATGATCTAAATCAAAAATGAACTTTTTTAAATGAGAGCCGGTCGAAGGAATCCAGTGTAGTTCATCATGCAGAGGATCTTCATCGCTTTTATTTTCACTATCTATAAGACAAAACTGAGCTATAACTTCATCGATGACTTCATCAATAGTGGACTGACGTTGTTCTTTTGGTATGATGTTTGCATCTCTAGAAGTAGAAGGTTGCGGATCGCGATGATTGCTCCCTAGGATAACCGTAGGCATTTCAACATTGTTTGATCCGAAAGAAAAGATTATGTATGAGTATATTTTTCAAAATATATAAAATAATTGACTGATGCACTAAGCACAGGACAAAAAAGTCAGCACATTTTCTTGTCCACAATAAGGTTATATTTACCTTTTAGTCTTTTTTATAGGATTTATTTCCTGCCAAGAATCGTCAGTTTCACTATCTGTACTAGGATGAATTATATTGGACCTCGAGGAATTTACAGCTGTTGCAAATTCACTGGCGGATAATGTCAGTACTGGGTTGTTCATCTGAAGACTATCATTAGATTTCTTCGATTTGATAGATAATCTAGAAATTGCTAAGTCTTAGTTGGGAGCATTATGAAGCAGAAACCACACTTTTGAACAAGAAAGCAAAATTTAGTTGGTCACAAAATAATTATAATAATTTACCTTTTAGCTTTCTTCATCTGGTGATGAATGACTGGGCAAGTAATCGTCTGAAGAATTGTCCATGAGCTCTGAAGGTCCTTGTTCCTCTTCGTCTGATAGCAGCTCATTCCACAATTTCATAAGTCTCATTTGACTCCTTTTCATATGTGCCCGTCATTTTATTTTATAGCACAAATCACAACTCAAATTATTTTATTCACAACCAAGCCTTACTATTCGGCGCGGTCTCAACAATTGGACTGGAAACTACACGAAGCATTGCATTTCTAGCATACAGAGACTTGTTAGAATTTGAAAAAATGACACCCGACAATTGGGTTTCGCGGCGCTCAGTGATCGGGGGATCTGAAACCCATAAGTCGGGAGTCATTTTCAAAATATATTTTTGGGACATTTTCTAAGACTAACGTCTGATAACAGCCAGCACATCATATCCAGAGTAAAAATTAAGTATTTCCTGAAAAAATTATGTTTGGCCTGGTGGTAGAATATTTTTTGCTTCATTTGGGCGATTAACGTGTTAATATACGATGCAAAAATAAATGTATTATTACCCTGGCACCATTCCCAGATCATTCGTGCTATCTTATTGAGACCCTGAAATCGAACACTTCCCATACGATTTACAGTTGAAATTTCCTTTTCCCAGCATTTTAAACTGAAATATACTGCCAACAGCTCTAACATATTAATGTGGTATTTCTTTTCATCCTTAGACCAATAGCCAAAACTCGCATTATTATTATAAAAACACCCCCAACCACTCTTTGATGCATCAGTAAAAATCTCTACTTGAAAATTATCAGTTCGTATTTCATTGAAGGCATGAGATATAAGTAGTCATTTTCTCAACAGTAACTTTTGGTTTCTTTGCACTATACTCTTTCTCCTCTATGTTGTTCCTTTCGGGAGAGTCGGTTACGATAGCAGATGACATTTTTCTATTATTTCGTTTCGTGTTTTGTCTTGGCCCCGCTTTAGAAAATGGTCTTATCATCTCCGGTGATATAATTCGTTGACTCGGATTTGCAGCCGTGGGGGTGGAGGTTGAACGGTGAGAGAGTCTGATATTCTGATCTATTAGAAGCTCATTTTCTTCGCCAGCTTCAAGCGATTTTGTAGAAGATGGAGGTGTTGTTTCTAAGTTTCTTTCCATACTTTCCTTATACAAGTTCAAACCATCGTTTGACTGCGGATCAAGTCTATCAGTCGCATATGAAGATAAAAATGCTTCTTCACTAAATATATTAGAATTTAATGGATAAATTCCTGTTTTCAAAAATCCTTGTTATATTCTGTGGACTGAAAGCTGACAAATATGCTTCTTTTACAAATTGCCCAATTTGATAAATAGTAACTGTTTTTCCAGGGTTCGTCAACATCCATTCATTCATGGCAGTGCGGTACCTAGTTTTGAAAGGCCCATATACTGTGATATCTAGTGGTTGCAGTTTATGACTGCAATGTGGTGGGAATGTAACTATTATGATGGAGTTTTGTCTGGCAAATTCAACCACTCTGAGATTTACATGAGAGGTGTGATTATCCATTAATATCAATGCTGGATTCTCTTTTGATGGCCTGACATGTATTACAAAGTCTTCAAGCTCTTTCACAAAACAGTCTTCAGTCATCCATCCAGAAACTTGAGCCAATCCTAGGGCTCCTGGCGGACCATTATTTAACATAATATCTTTATAGTTTACTCTAGGAAACACAAAAACGGGCGGCAAAAAACCACCAGCAGCATTAATAAAGAACAGAGTTGTCACCAATGTTCCTCGTTCGGCTGAGGTAACTTGCCCAATTTGTTTCGAACCCCTTTCAGCTATGACCTTAGGAGGATTGGTGACGGTGCTGCAGCCTGTTTCACCGGCGTTAAAAATCCTATGAGGAGGAAATTTGTATCTTTGTAAAACAGTGTTTAATTTCTCAAAAATGTGCTTACATTAGCTTTATTAAAACTTGTTGCACGGGATAGAGAAGTGCTCAGGTTTTCTCAGTTAAGTCTTTGTGTCTGCTCATAAACCCTTTGAGCCAATCATCAGTCGCAGTTTCAACTTCTTTCCATTTGGGTGGACAGATATCATTGGCTACGGCATAATCAAATCCTAGCTTCTTTGCTTGATGTCTTGTTAGGCCATGGCACATTTTAGATGCGGTCTTTAAATAATCTGCAAGCATATTCTCCTGTTCTGTTGTGAAAATACGCCTGTTCCCTATATTAGAACAGTGTTTATATGATGAATCGCCAGACGTCTTTACTTTTTTAACGATTTTCGCTAAGTAAGCCCTCGATATGTTTAAGGCAAGTGCATTTCTGTTTATGGACTGACCTTTCTCCAAAACTTCACTGACTGCTTCAAAACCTGGCTCTTTCATGCCACTTCTCCCCTACATACCGTATAAGACTTATGTCCTACTGTGAGACAATAACTTAATGTATGACATCTACGAGAATGTTCTGTATGTGTAGTTTGTCTTTGTGTGTTTGCAACTTTTATGTGCCTCGAAAAAAATACTCGCTGTCGATGTAAATCGCCGATACAGTTGTTCAAAGATTGCTCTCCTTTCTTCATCTGTGATTTGGGAGCACAGGAGTTTTTTCTGACATACTGCTGAAGTACAACGTGGTTTTATAGATCGAGCCGAAACAACCTTTCTAGAGTATGGACTTACTCATGTCCTGAAATATAAAGAACTCAAGCATCTACAAATTTTAAAAGAACTACTATCATTCGTAAAACATAAATAGATGGAGATAATGAACCACATATCACCTCGTTGAAAATTGTAAAAGAAATAACCATTACAATCGTGCAATTAAAATTTTTCTGCATAGTTAAAAAGCCCATATTCTGACGGACGCCCGATCTGGTGCAAATCCAAATGTTTGCAATTTTTTATGTGTCGCAGCAATTTTAGTTCTGCATCTTCTCCCAACGCTGATGACGGACCTAATCTGTGTTGTTTTATTGCGTCCCCCTGCTGAATCCTATCTTTTAGCGTTGTTTTAGGTATTCCAAATTGTCTGGCGGCTTCATTTACACCCATTGTACGATTTTGTACACATTCCATTGCGTTTCTTAAAGAACCGGCACTCCATTTAGCTCTCTCTTCATTTTTCCTTTTGTAAGTCGTGGGAATTTTTGTTAATCTGTAACAATATTATTTTACAATAAATTTATTTTTTCAAAGTGAGCTTTATTGTATCACTAATTTGCTTCAGACCGCGGAATATTTCATTATTACTATTATTATTTCCATGGTCGGTCTCTCCCGGATTGATGTGGTCGTACTCTACCAAAGTTACGGGAGAGATCGACCACCTTGTTAACCGAAGGAAAAATGATAAATGCCTACATTTTTTGGGTTATGTTATAGTTTGATGCATATTCTATCATCCAGTATTGAAACAGTTCAATTAAACTTACCCGTCTTTAAAATATCACGAACACAGGAAATCAATCAAAAAATTGTCAAGTTTGCACAAATTTTTAAATTTAATTTGTAAATTTATACTACTGTTACGTGTTTACGTGTTCGATGTAGCAAGGTCAACTAATCGCATCATACATGTGAGTCACGGATTCATCATCTATTGCTTTGTGGTTAAGTTATCGGCAGTGGTCGGTCTCTCCCGGTGGTGGATCTCTACCGGAATTACCCTACATATGTCTTCGACCATCTGCTCGTATTTATTGACTGAATCTTAGGCCAACGTGAACGTGGACGTAACTCTAGCTGTTTTATGCCCAATGACATTTCCTTAGGATTGAGAGCTTAATATTGTCGTGGACTTGAGCCTGTCCTATTGCGACTAGGCTACTAATCAAACTTTCCATTCAGTCGCCGCATTTTGAGCTTGCATGTCGAAATCAGGCGAAAGTTTCACTGGTGGTCCCCCGATACCGGCCATATCCTATTGTCTTATCAACTATACACCCCCGACGTCACTTTTGCGCTGTTAAACTTAGCCGCATATTTTTTTACTACTACGTCATGTTTATTTATTAAAACACCGGATGCATTTCGATTTATGCAATTCATTAATTAAAATTTATTATTATAAATTATTTACACGTGATGGACTATCGTCAAGTGACATACTTTCCCATACATGACATGACAAATGACACCTTAAGCCTAGTACACATGGTGAGGTGTATTTATAAGTACTTTATATTTAAACACACACTCATGTAATTATATGTTATAGATTAGTTCTAAGTTAGCTTTGTCATTAAGAATGATTCTATTCTTCAGACAGTAAAGCACATTTAACTGTCTATCATTTGTGATCTGAATTAGCTGCCAGGCAGTTGAGTCGTATTAGATAATTGTGTTGTTGACAATAATGTTTCGGCTGCCTAAGGTACCGAATAATTTTAGTTTATTAAATGGAGTGTAGTTAGTGAGAAAGAGATAGATAGATAGAGAGAGAAAAATACAGATATGGAGAAAGAAAGAGAGAGAGGAAGTGAGAGTTACAACAGATGAAGTTAACAAACCATATACTGTATTTCGGTGTCCAAAAATGGACATCAAACATATCTATGCATATCTATGCAGTATATAACATAACGAAAAATATTTTCTTTGAGAATAGCGCTAGGATCTAGGAACTTCAACTCCTTTTTGGCCTGTCTAATGCCTATTTCTAATTGGGTATCTTCAGGTGGTGGTCACCTAAAGATATCCAATTAAAATAGGTACTAGAACTAGACACTTCATACACCGAAAAGGTTTGAAGATCCTAGCGATATCTACGTGACAATACCAGAACCAAGCACTGTCTATTTCTAAATTCATTTTTGTGTTCTGTTGATGTATCATAGATGACGCTAGTGTCTGTTAGATCCCTTTTTGGGCGCTGGAACATAGCTATCTTCAGGTAAAATCCATTAATCAATGGATATACAAATAGATGTGTGTCATTATTTTTGGTTAATGATTCACATATCCAAGATATATGTTTTCAAAAATTCTGTGATATGATCTGACACAGTGTTTGTGAAATTTTATCAAAATAATATATTGTTGACTGGGTACAGTTGAAACAATTTCACTTAAATTGTCCATAGTTTTGCTTTTTATATTCAGAGCGATGAAGAAGATTTGTTAGATAAAAGGGCATACTTCTATCTACTAATGGGTAATGTGATTTTAGGTCCAAGTATGTTGATTTTAATAATACATCAAATTTAAAAGAAAAAACGGTTTGTTTCAACCAGGAGGAGGATTCGGTAGAATTTTCAGGATTTGGTCTATCCGTAACAAACGCAGGAGTAAAATCGAGCTCAGTAAATAGATACCTATTATATGAGTAAGTTCCTGTTTTGCGAAAACCGGCTTGAATATTTGAAGGCGCGAGAGCAATTGGCATAGCAAATGGTACAATCCCTGGAATATCATAAATGGACATCGTCCTTCCTGGATGGTTTCGCATCCATGCATCGCAGGCTGAATTTACAGCCTTCTTCAAAGGGCATATGCAGATCGATCAAGCGGCTGGAGTCGGTGAGAACAGCGGGGTGAGAAATATAGTAAAATAATGCCACTGTTTTTATAAACGTCTAGTGCATTGATATGGACGTGTGAAGAGTGATTATCCAGCAAAAGTAACACTTTATGTGATGGAGATGCATTTGTATGTTTCTTAAAGTGTTCCAGGAAATGCATAAAAGTTTCATCCTGCATCCAGCCAGAAGGGTTGGCAGCTAAAACGGAGCCTATGGGCCCATCCCTAATAAAATGGTCTCGGAAACGAACTCGCGGGAACACGAAGAATGGCGGAATTACATTTCCGATGGCATTCGCCGCAAAGGCAACTGTGACTAATGTACCTCTTTCCGCTGACGTTACTGAACCAACGCCATGTCTAGTCACCAGTATATCGGGCTTTTGAACAGTGGTTAAGCCTGTTTCGACAGCGTTATAAATGTCTTGATGGTCAAACTTATGACGGTCTATGACAATCGTCAAATTGTCATAGAAAGAATCGACATTGGCTTTATTAAAGCTAGTCGCCCTGGAGAGACTTGTGGCTTGCGCTGCACGTAGAGACAGTTCGGGGTTTATATTCATAAACATTCGAAACCACTCCTCACCTACTACCTCATTATCACCCGGTCGTGATAAATTATATTTAACTGG